GCATATATATTCTATTTTAGAAGCTATATGTCAAGTTTGGTGACGCTAGCTCTTATTATTTACCAAAATTGACCAAAAAACAGGATATCGATATCGATTTTTATCGATTGCTTGGAAACGGAGTAAGTTATCGATTATCGGAAGCAAACGCGATCTGCGCAGGCACTAGGACCACCTACATCTAAAATTTCAAGTCTGAGGCTCCAATCGGCGATTGGTTGGAGACTCGAATTTGTATTTGCTAAGCAACTCAAATCTCGAGTTTTGTTTGAAGCAAAAAGCAACAGCAAAAATTTGCGAGAGCGCGATGCACAAGCAGAAATATGCAGCAGTGAACACACGCACAAACAAGGAAGCACCAAAGCAAAAGAATCAAAACAGACAGTAACAACAATACGGAACTGACGCAAGTTTAAGAAATGCAATGCTTAACAGACTAACGGAGAAGAAAAACTTCGTGGGAAACGCCGTAGGTCATACACAGTTATGGAATGACCGAGGAGGGCCATACCTTAAGGGGGGAGCAGTTAATAAGTAACCCTCTCTTTACAGCGAACGCTAGCAATCATGGTGTTGACACATAACATAATAGATGATAATCAAAGACTAGTTCGCCTTGAATTGATAGGCCGAACACCAATGTTGCATAGCATTCAAATCATCTTGTAGACGAGAGTGATGTAGGGGATCGGTGTACAAAAGAAATGTACATAAATAAATGGGCATGTGATTTAACAGAGAGGGAGCAAAGAGTAAAAGACAATGAGATTTAGCAATGGAGAAAATGAAATGAAGCACTACAAATTTTTTTGTAGACACCTAAGAAACTAGGAAATAAGGGTAATAATTATTATTAGTATAGACAGATCCGAAAACTGATTAGCTTAACCATATTTTCAAGCCACAGATCGATCAATTAGATTAAACTAGGATCGAATTGTCCGATTCTGTAAAAGACTTTTGTTGGCTATATCGTCTCAAGGCGTTACACACCGACAAGTAGTAAAAAAATTCTTTTTCCTACCGGAGTCAACAAGAGTTTTATTTCTCGATAGAAAAAGATTTGCAGAAATTGTTGGTGGTTGGAACAGTTTCCTTCAACCAAAGCAGTTGAACCAGTTATGGAGTGCCACTCACTAGGTAATTTGGAAATACTGCCGTCGGGTCAACTTAAAGGAAGATTGCCATTTTAATAAGATCCCTCAGTAGCTCCGATTTGTGTCACGTGCGATCCCGAGCTCAGGCATATGGTCTTGAAATTCATGGATAAATATTAAGGGCACATGTCTGAAATATATAATCAGATTCCAAGTACTCCACATTACTTCATTCTGCATCAGTGTATTTTAACACCACAATGCACATCGACGAAGTTTTCTACGATGTTTTTGACGCGTCCTGTTTATCTTGGTATCAAATTGCGTAAATGACCTTTCTAGGGTTGAACCGACCATTCAAGAGGAGGTAGATAGACAGCTGACATCAAAAAGATGAATAGGCAGGTTATGGTACATGAAGTAGATCGAGATTTCCAGCTTGCAGTGTGGAGAAGAACCCCATCTAACTTTTAAAGGTCCTTCAGGTTAAACACTGTAACTAACGGCACTGTTCCTGTCCGTTTTTTGACAAAGCGGTGGTTAACAAAGCAAAGTGAAATGAGCAAGTCGTGAAACCCTAGAGCTGCTGACGTTATGAGACATGCCTTTTACGTCGATGTTTAACTGACTGGTGCTGCATCCGTAAAGAACCTTCAAGCGATTTAGTCTGAAGTGTCTGACGACAGATCCTTACCTTACAAGTACGCAAAGCAACTGTTGGACTTACAGCTAAGATAGACCGACCAGACATCTTGGAAACTATCGATAGTTTTCCATTGCATCCCACGGCGCTCGAAAGGAAGAAAGCTTTCCCGAAACAGGGTTGAAGTCATCCAACCTAGCTAGAGTTCGAAGGGGCATACGCGTGGTAAATAGTGCGTAAATAGTCATTTATACATGACTATAATGGTACTTGGTGCTCTTTTCCTTATTTCGAGTAAGGGGACGACTTGCAAATACCTCTCATTAGTTGACAGATATCCGCTACCTCTGTATAAATCATTAAATTCGCTAGATCATGCATCTGTTGCAATCCTTCTCTGCTTACTCAAATTATGTGAAAATTACGAGCAGTCGACAGTTTTGTTTGATTCCAAAGCCTCCAAAGCGGTTAATTAGAACTAGTATCTGACTTATCCACCAGTACATTTTCAAAGATTCGTCGACCGTCGAGTGCCACAGATTGTACATTGCGATTACGCGAAGAACTTCCAAACAAGAAAGCTCCGCATTAAAAGGGTCTGGGAGGCTGGTGTGAAGTCTGCAAGGCATCTACTCCTACGGACGGAAGGCATCCTGCTGAAAACGGCAAGAGGTGCAAACGATCGCAGTGGAAGACGTGCTCAATTTCAGGCCCGTGGATGCGCTAAGCGGGGGCCCTAACGGCAAGGCTCAGGACACCTACTTGTGAGAGGGGACCACGGTCCAGCTGGGTCCCATCTGTTTGAATCAATGATCGTCGTCGGGGTGATCTGCCGGCCCAGCAATGGATTATCGGCAGAATGATGGCGGCGTCCTTAGGGTGGCAGTAACGAGCACAGCCAATAGTGAAAAATTCCAAAGGCAGATTCATAAGATGCCACGGCTGCCTGTTAAGATCTGTCCGATCAATAATATAATTTGATTAAAAGTTAACGTCAAGTGTAAGTCAGGCCTAGGGCGGAGCGAGAGCGCATTCGCTCTGGAAGCGAATTAGCCTCGCTTCGCCACAGTAGCTTAGTTAGCCTTCAGAATTTTGAGTTGTCAGTTGTCGAACTACACAAAACTGACCAGAACAAAGCGTATATAATACTTTGAAGCCACAATTTAAATTAAATTTTCAAAATGCAAGCCACAATTTTACATCATCAGCAAACATTATTAGTCGAGCGTTGGGGAAAACAAATTTCTAAAAAGAAATAAACTCGGCTATTGGTGCTGATCAATAATATATATACTTTATGGGGTCGGAGATACTTCCTTCTGCCTGTTACATACATTTTTAATGGGTTAAGGGTATAAAAAGAAAGTAGAGAGGAGATAGATTAAAAAATGTTTTGATGGTTTAATGCTTTTCCTATTAAATTGGCTAACTTTAAACGTAAATAGATTATAAATGTAGACTCCTCCCTTTCGCCGCAAGCCTAAACACCCGTCTCATACAAGCACACTAAGGACATTGCATCTCTACTCGAAGCCTGGAACTCGTACGAGAGTGAAAATATTTCGGAATCTATTTTTATATGATGCTATGATGGTGCTTTCCTTTCGTAAATTCAAACTGGTGTCATTAACACTGACTTCAGTAAGGCGTTTGACTCTGTCCACCATAACATTTTACTTTTTAAATTTGACCGATTAGGTTTCCCTCCATCTCTTTTGCTTTGGATAAGTTCTTATATAAAAGGTGGGACCCAAAGAGTAATGCTGAGGCATCTGATGTTCTTCAAGATAGTCATCTAGGTCCTTTACTCTTTACTCTTTTTATAAATGATGTCCCCTCGGCTATATCACATGCCCGGGTACTTATGTATGCAGATGATGTGAAACTTATTCTATCATACACTAATCCCCTACATCATTCTCGTCTACAAGACGATTTGAACACTATGCAAACTTTGGTGTGCGGCCAATCGATAGCATCTAAATTGTTCAAAGTGTATGTTTATGACCTTCAATCGCACTGCACCTTATCTTGTCAGCTATACAATCGACAATATTCTATTGCAACGTAAACTGACAGTTAAGGATCTAGACGTTATTTTTGATTCTAAACTCTGTTTCAAACTTCACATAGATACCATCGTTAATGTGGCAAAAGGTGTACTTGGATTCATTAAACGATGGTCTGAAGAGTTTAACGATCCTTTTATAACGAAACTTCTGTACATCTCTCTTGTTCGACCTATCCTTGAATAATGCTTTTGCATCTGGTCTCCGCAGTATAACAATAACCAGGATGGTATTGAATCTGCTCAGAAGCAATTTCTGCTTTTTGCCTTACGAGGCTTAAATTGGGACCCTAATATCCGGTTACCATCTTGCTCCAGCAGGCTTATTCTTCTTAATCTTCCGTCGTTAACCAACCGTAGGACAAATTTCGGTGTTGTCTTCCTACATAATAGATACATATTCTCCTTTTCTGCTAGGGCGTTCTCAATTCTCTGTTCCGTCCAGACCAACCAGAAATGATCGCCCCTTATTCCTATCTACGTGCACAACAGACTACGCTATGTACAATAAAAATTACAATAGTTTGCATCACGTTTTCTCTACCGAACTTTCTCTACCCCTAATAAAATCGTTGCTTTCAGGATACCTTCGGGAAGACACTGACCATTCCCAGCTATGAGCAGGGGCATAGCTTGCCGGACAGACTGTAAATTTTCCCCCACCGGTCGGTGATTTCGCATTACTTTTCTGTTTGTCCTATCTACTTAACACTCTTTATATCTAGCATACATTTCTCTACTTTATTAACAATCTTCTTACTTTATTTTTTCATTATACAGTATTTTCTTAATTAATATAGCAAATCAAGATTATTTTTAATTTTACTTAAAAACACTTTTTTCCTACTTACACCCTTCTTCTTAGCTGTAGGCTCTAATAGCGTCAGTGACAAAATTAGCTGTGAAAAGGGGCACAGTTGGCCGGAATGACAAACAAAACACCTCTATCCTTCGGAAAATTGTGTTCTCTAACTAGGCTTTTAGCATTTAATTTTTATTATATATGTATATTGTATTGAATAATTAGGAAGACACTCGTTTTGTCGACCATTAATAAAAAATAAATAAATAAATAAAAAATATTTATTTATATGTACTTTTGTGTATAGAAAGAAATTAAAATGCTTGCAGCTCGGTTTCTGGATTTATTGTATCCCTTAAAAGAGCACTTTTGACTGGAGCAGTGGAGAAAATATTCTATTTATTTCGATGATTGATTCGTTATCAACATAATTACCTTCCATATTTTTATTTTTTACTTATTACTGCTTATTACTTAATACTTTACAAAACGGTCAGATCAAAATAAATCGAAAGGTTTCTTAGATATCAAATGTATTTATTAAATATTTTGGTTACTGATCTTAACATGACCGTCATACCAAGTCTTTAATCGGTGCGATATGTCTGAAAATGTCGGACGTTTTACAGCTTGTTCATGCCAACATTCCATCATTAAAGAATACACCGCCGTTGGGCAATTTTCTGGACAAGAGAGTAATTGGCGCGATCTTATTAAATGTATTACCTCTGGATTGCTGTACCCACAATACGGCTGAAACGACAAATTGTGATTAAAATAATGTAATTAGATCCCATGTGAAGACTTTATATTATATTCAAGAGATTTTAAGTTTTACCTGCATTCCATAACTATATATTTCCCAAAGAACAACTCCAAAAGACCATATATCACTTTCAGTAGTAAATTTTCCATATAAAATAGACTCGGAGGGCATCCACCGAACAGGAAGTAACGATTTTGATTGCACCCTGGGGAAAGTAATTAGTAATGATAAATCGTCAAATGACAAAGTGCATTAATATGGAATCAAAAATACCTGTAATAATCAGAACTGTAAATATCCCGTGACAATCCAAAATCAGAAATTTTTACAATCAAACCTTCATTGACCAAACAGTTTCGAGCAGCTAAATCACGATGAACATAGTGATGTCCTGATAAGTATTCCATTCCCTCACTTATTTGTATTGCTATTTGTAGAAATTCCAATTGTAATAATGTTTTTTTTTCAATAGGCGAATTTGATATTAGAAATTCATGCAAGTCACCATTAGCCATGTATTCGAAAAGCATACAGTAAGGCTCTTTATTTAAAATCACCCCAAGTATGCAAACAATGTTTTGGTGCTTAAGATCTGATATTAATTCAATCTCACGCCTGAAATCTTGTTGTGTTTTAACTGAGGCGTTTTCTTTTAATGCTTTAATGGCAACATTTACAATTTTTTTGTTGGGTTGCGTTAGTTGTCCTTTATATACTTTTCCTAAAATAAAAAAAAACATATGTAAGCAAAATAGAAATATAATAATAAATGTAAATGTCCACTAAAAGTGCCCTGACGTAAGCACTCTGTAACAAACATTAAAACAAATTAGTTCGTACATCGAGTTCCCGGAAATATTCTATTTTAATTTTGATCTGCCAATTATTAAGAATAATAAGTCACCCCCATAAAGTATATATATTCTAGATTTGCATCAAAAGCCGAGTTGATACATTTCAATGTGAATTAGCCTTTTCATTTTAAAGCTATACATAGTATTAAAACTTTGCATAGGTCCGTCTTTTTGTTGCAAGCAGTTCATATGTCAGAACCGACCGAATCAGACGACCTTATCATATTGCTACCATAACAACTATCGATCGCAAAATAGGTTCTTGTGTGGAAATCTTCTTTGTGTATAAGGATATTAGCGGGTATAGCCCGGCCTTGCCTGTGGTATTAATGTAATAAATTCAATGTTCTCAAAAAGCTTTGAAAATGAGCGGACGGTAAACAAACTACTCTCATACAAACGTTTTCCGCCATTTTACTACTGTTGCGAGTGGAATTTTCCAAATCGCTGAAACACGTATTCATTATATGAAAAGCACTTTCCACCGAAGGAGTTTAGATTTTGCATAAAATGTAAAACAGGTCTCAAATGATTTTTTATGTAGATCCACCCACCAAAACTTTGACTCGCATTTCCACCAAGGAGGAATAAATTTTTCAAAAAGTGTGAAACACCCCTCAAATGAATTTGAACAATAGCCTTTGAAAATAAGTTTGAGACCGATCGGATGGTTACCAAAAAACTTTCATACCAACGTTTCTTGCTAATATACCACTGCTGTGGGTGGAATTTCCCAAATCGCTAAAACACGTATTTATTAAGTTTTTTCTAGCGCTCTGAAAAAAGGTTGATGCAAATCTGACAAAACTTAAAACTGCACCAACAAACTTTTAGAATCGCACTTTTTACCGAGGATGCTAAGATTCTGCGAAAAATGTGAAACACGTCTTAAATGATTTTTCATATAAATCCTTGAATTCTTGATCCTTGAGCGCTAAACGTCACCTACCAAGTCTTTGACTCCCATTTCCACCGGAGAGGAAACATTTTTGGAAAAGTGTGAAACACCCTTAAATGAATATGAACAACGATCTTTAAAAATTGAGTTTAAGGCCGATCAGATCGGTAAAAAAAAAAAGATTCATACAAATGTTTTTCGCGATTTTTCATTACTTGCGGGTGGAATTTCCCGAAACCGTCTTAAAGTGCTCCTTCATCACATAACGTAACTACAGTAAAATTTCAGCTTCCTAGCTCTTACGGTTTGGGCTGTGCGTTGATCACCAATCAGTGAGTCAGTCAGTCAGGACAAACAGTTTTAGATATAGAGATATTCACAAAACTAGGCATTAATAGGTTTCCATATATTTTAATATACACCTTATATACATATATATTAAATAATAAATAAATCTGTCATAGGAACGGTCGGTCGAAAATTAAGCTTTGAAGATTTTTTATACCCTGAACCCATTGAAAAAGGGTTAAAAGGGGATATTGTATTTGTGCAACATGCAAATGTATGTAACAGGCAGACGGAAGCATCTCCGACCCCATAATGTATATATATTCTTGATCAGCATCAATAGCTATCTAGAGTCACCAAACTTGACATGTAGCTTCTAGAATAGTATATATATTTGCATTTGGCGTTGGAAGAAGAGGGTTCAGGGTATTCCCTAGCTGGGAACTCCCGACTAGAACCTCATACTTGTTTTTATTTTGATATTTTGACCAAACTCGAACTTTTAAAGGTTCCGTATGCTTCCCTGCGTAAATTTGCAAGATCTTATAAACATCAGAATACTATATTATATATCTGAGTTCTTGTGTGCTGCATTTTCTTTCGTTTATCCAAATTGGTCAAATTGGTTACAAAGGAGCTAAAGAGTTTTTCCAAGATATCGTCATCAAGCATAACATTTACGAGCTTCATTTTCCGCACATTTCTGCAAAAACGTAAGGCAAATGTCTACAAGTGTATTAACTCCTCGGCATTCCGAAGGCATCCTTACTTTATCGGTTTTTATGAATTTTCAAACTCGATGCACTTATACGAAAAATGAAAAGCAACATGGCTTTAATGACACTGCTGCTAACGCATATTAAGAACACATATATTTTCAAATAATTTTTTTGATCGGAATAAGGATATATATTCTAAAATATTTTTATTTACCAAATGCTCCCTCGCCCAATTCTTCAAAGAACTCTACATCTTGTAATGTAAAGTGTGGTATTCGCAAAAGTGAATTTTTTTCCATACTTTTAGATGGTATTCCTACAAGTTCAATGGAACTATTTAAAGTCATTCTTCCTGTATCTTGGTTTGAGTTTAATTGTGAATTTCCATATATATTATTTCCGGCGTTTGGAGTATTAATCTGGAATGCAGACAGAATAATTTACAAATTTTATGATTTTCTTTACATGTATAAATAGGTTACGTACACTTTGTATATTTTTCATTCCACGAGAACTTTTCTTTTTTAAAATAAGAACTGAAGTTAGGATAACAGCTACAGCTGTCAACCCCAATATTGAAATTATTGTTAGCCAGAGCTTATCGACACATTTTGGAATATTGCAAGGTTCAATACTTCTATCTAAAGATTGGTCATCTACAAAACACCACGGGTTCTTTTCAACTTTTCCTGGGTTCCTGAAATGTGGATAATTAACTTATTAAGTACTGTTTAAATTAATATTTTTTATATTAGTGTGATGTAATAATATCTAGAGATATACATATATTTTTGGCTTGTTACACAAGTCTGTCTTGCCTTAATCTTAATTTTTTACATTTTTAATTTTCAAATAGATATACTACTATTAATAAAACGTAACTAAGCAAAAAGCCTTGAACTTCACTTTATTAATATAGTTTTAGTTTATATGTTGGCTTAGTTAATTTGTTGATATGTTGGCTTAGTTAATTTGTATATCCTCAACCCATTAAAAATAGGTAAAAAGGATGTAATATTTGTACAAATGTGTATAACAGATAGAATGCGGCAGCTTGGAACTCATAAAGTCTGTCGTCTGTCTGTCTATCCGTCCGCATGTATGAACGTTACGAAATGTTAATCGATAACGCTTTCCAGTGTCTAAGTAATCGATGAAAATCGATATCGAACTCTTGTTTTTTGAATAGTATATATATGTACCACGTATCTTTTTATCAAATAAGTCAAACGAATGAATTGTTGGTATGGCTGTCAAGTAGACAAGTTAACAATTTATGTTTTTTGAAAGAACTATTTTTTTTTAATTTAGTTATCTTACTGCTAAATAAACAAGCTCGTACCGCGAATTGTATTTGGTGTTGGTTGAAAAAGGTAGAGGGTATCCCCTAGTCGGGAATTCCCGACTATCTTACAATTTTTAATTCAAACTTAATTTCTAGGATGTCTGTAAGGTATGAGACAAGTAATTAGAAGGTAGTGCGAGTTCGACACCAAGTTTTTTTTATACATTTTATTACAATCTATTACATCCCACGAGCAGGTCTAATCGATTAGGTTTCCTGATCACTGCAGCGTCTTCCAGTGACAGTCAAGCAAGCTATCAAAACAATAAAAGTTAAAAACTACCGCAATAACAACAGCCTTTTTTAGGTGCCAAATCACCAGTAAAACGTAGGCGACCGCATACTGGATGAGTTAGCCAGTATAGTCTCTGGTTGTAGTTTTTGTCTGGAATATTTTAGATTAACATATTCGGCCTTTTTCAGCGTTCTAGATACAAAGTTCCGACGTTTCATTAAGAGCGTTTGGTGCATTCGTATAAATATGCAGCAGTACTGCAAAAGGTTGTCGTTTTATGTTGTTGACATCTAAAACGAACGTCGGCCCCCTCAAGAAGAAGCGTCTTCCTAGACTTAAGTTGATCTTTGTAGAACAGACGGTTTGATTTTGAAATCACTCTTTATTGGACTCGGTCATATCCTTCGTCGCTAGAAACATTTGTGCTGAATCGAGTGGCTAAAATGTACGAATGGAAAGGGAACTCTAAATGGCGCCATGTACCGACGAATCAAAACCCAGCAGATATTAATTCAAGAAGCTGCGATGTTGTTAACTAAACATCGATGTGATTCGATGGGCCTCCGTTAGGAACCGGTTAGTCCGCATCTGATGACAGATGAGATGCTGAAATAGCCGTTCGACTTACAGCTTGTTATGATCCGACATGCCGCTTACATTCCTTTTATCGATTTGCCGGCAAGACAGATCAACTAGGGGTAAGTAAGACCTAGATAAATGGAAGAGTCGGTTAACAAATAATTTATATTTTAAATCGGACTTACAAATTTCGGTTGCTTTTCGAGCAAACACAATCGGACAACTTGCAGACACTTACATGGCGAACTGATGTTAAGGTCCACCCTAAAGGAGCCTTCCCACGATGAGTTGGCTTTATAGGCACCTGCCAACTCCCAAATTCTGACGTTCCCCCGCCTAACACCCATTTTTCACTCACCATTAACTTGCTACTCGGACATTATCAGTGTACTGCACGTATACATACATATTGTGAACCTTAGCCGGGTACAAACGTATGTCAACGGCTTTATTTCCATGGAATATTCCCAATATTCCCAACGGCACCCCATGCAGAGTCTCGAATTCGTAAAGACTGGATCCGACCGCCCTCACAGCACTGCACTTGGCGAATTGGTGGCAGAAATTGAAATTGCGCTATGTGTACGGATTTCAAATTGTTACGTCTGGTCGCTTTCTCATATACTGAGTGCATAGTGTTGCTCAAGGCTGCTTGCCAGTATGTAGTCTGCATCGTAAGCATATGCTGTCCGAACATTGGTCCGATATTTACCCATGCATTCGTCAAACTCAATAGACGTGAATTGTCTGCCATTGTCTATGTGAACAATTTCCGGTACTCCTATCTGCGTGAATATATGGTCGCGTAAAAATTTGATCACTGCCGTAGTAGTCGCTTTCAGTATCGCTTTCGGCCAGACGAATTTGGAAAAAAGTCCATAATATCATTTTTGTATTGGCTTTTCTAAGTTGACTTCCCAATAGGTGGACAAGTAACCTACGTCGTGGGCTTTGTATTTCAATACGTTTCGCAATTGGTGGGATTGGAGTTGGATTGACATCCGGCTAAGTAGTAGAATTGCTTGACTCTGGCCATAGTCTTCGAAATTACACCATGCAACGCCATGCGCCTCTTGTATAAGCGACGATGTCAACGCTTCAGGAACCCACAGTTTACAGAGGAATTCGTAGCAGTCTACTCTGTTGAATTGGGTTCGTTTGAATAACAGTCCCTCTTCAATCCGTCCGCTCTTCGATTTCTTTCAGCCTTTTCAAATTGTCCTTTGTTCGCTTTTGGTCGTGAACTCTAAATGGACATACCCCAATTCCTTAACATCTAAAATTCCGCTAACAGACCGAGTTTTCTCAAAAAGTCTACTCCAATGTACAGTGACTGCTTGAGAGATGGGCACAGGTACAACGCTAATTGGTGAGTCCGGTCGTTGTACGATGTTGTGGCATAGACACGATTCAGAAAGTGATGTGGCGTGCCATTAGCTATTTTAACAATCGATCGTACTCGGTGAATTTCTCATCCTAATTATTTTGTCAATTGCAGGCAACCTACTCCTAGCAAACTGTTTCCAGCAGTCCAGCAACATCTCGATCTCGATGTCCAACCGTTGCAAATGTTCGATCGCACCGCTTTCCAGTTAATGGTAAGCTCAATTTTAAAGTGACAAACTTTTCATGAAAAAAAAAATACAAATGACATTTTTTTTTTATAAGGAGCGATGTCTTTTTTTTACTAACACAGTCAATGATGCATGAGCTAATTCAAAGAAGAGTAAAACTGAATTTATAGCTTTTGGATCGGAGACAAGGCCTTGCAAAAAATTCCTTGCGGAAAAGTCTGCATATTATAAGCCCGGTTAGATTTAAAAAAAGCCATTCAGACAATTTCGGGCGATAAAGCAAGCGTAAGAATCAATATCGGAAAACAGTTTTTTCTTAGATTTTAAAGGCTAGAGTGATCAAATTTGACGTACAGCTTATAGAAAAGTTTATACAAATCAAGTATCTTTCACTTTATAGTTGTCGAGATTAAGAAACAGAGAAGTTGAAAACGTTTGGTTATATTGTCAAGCCATGTTGGGCTGCAGCGCTTAGCGAAGAATTTCTGAGTTGGTTCATAGTTACTATAATACAATGTTGTATTGCTGACCAGGCTGACCAAGCTGACTTTGGCAAGTGACTCCGTGGCCACAAAACGTCGCAAAGCCGTAATACGAGACTTGCAAATAAATGTGTCGGTAGCGAAAACTGATTGTAGTGTACACTTGAAGAGGGTGTACTGTGACGCGAAATTTAATTTTGATGTCTCTTTAGCTAGATTGGACTTTGTGTATGCCGAGAAGCGGCCGGTTCTCTGGATTCAGAAAGAACTTGGCACATTAAGGTTGGGCAACATGAACCTCTTACAGTTCTTCGTCGAGAAAACATTACTTGTTTACCACCAAAACTACGAAATTTTTCTGGGACAGCACATAAATTACATTTTTAAAATTTCGTCAGCCAGCAATCTTTCACCGGCAACAAAGCTATCAGGGATACACTTAGGAGTATCATCCGCGTCTAGCGCACCAGTAAATGTAGTAATTACAATTAGTAATTTAAAAAGGTCAAAGTTGGATAGGAATACTTAAAATAAGCGTCAGAGTAATAACATAAGACGCCATCATGCGAGTCTCTAAAGAAAAGTGTCACACCTTTTCAAAAAAAAGTATCGAAAACTTTGATTTTGTAGTGTCCACTACTTCAAAAACCAGATAGTACTGGAAGATGTATGCATCCCGTTAAAACGAGTTTTTGTTGTATACCGTGAAAAGACCCGGTACCATATATATTGCGAAAATTGGGATTGTATCATTGACACCGTGATGACGTGGCAAGGTTCGACGTAGTAACTACCAAATATTTTGAGGTACCGATATTGGGTTGCATCCAGCATCCTTCTCGAGAAGGGAAACCCCTGGAATAAGTTTCGGTACTGCCTTACGTTGCCCAAATTTAAACAAGAAGGAGCTCATAGAGCTGCTCAGGAAAACGTAAAGCAGGTATTGCGCAAATTAATATATACCGAAAATAACAGATTGCCCCCAAAAACCTCAATAATTGTGCAAAGGCCCTACCCCAGTCCCATCAGTTTCGGGGAAAATTATTCACATCTTCTCGACTACTTTTCTAAATTTGCAATGGAATAACCCATGACATCAACACTTGGTCTGAACGCGAAACGATAAAAAAAAGAATAGTAATTTACAAAGCGCAAAAATTGCAGTTGGATTTTTTTTTCTAGACAATATAATATTCGAGATCAGGGAAAAGGGGATGTTAGTATTTATCTAATAAAAAGTCTGTGCATAAGAGAAAATAGAAGCTATAATAAATTGGAAGCAACTGTTCTTATAAGAGCGACAACCTTGGGGGAAGAAAACGGATGATTTTTATATTTTTATACCCTGAAACATACATTTGATTTATCCATGTCGGTCTGGATCTCAGAATCCATAAGAGCTAAAGACTTTAAATTTGGAACGGAAGTCCTCCTAGTGCCCGCAAACTATGCATTTGTTAATCATAAAAATCGATGTCGAAATCTTGTTTATTGACCAAATCTTTTAGGTTTTTAGGCTAGTCACAAAATTTGAATAGCATACATATATATAGAATCATCTATTTTATAACAACCGCCAACTTCTAATTTAACTCGTTTTTTCATCAACAATGAATTATATTCAGGATTTCCCTTGTCGGGAACTAGACTAGACCCGCTGATTTGTTACCCCCTTGCAGAGCGTCATCATTGTTATCAAATGTGTAACGCATAGAAGGAGACATGTCCAACCCCATAAAGTTATATAGATTCTTGATCAGTATCAACAGCCGAGTCGATATAGAAGACTAGTCTTTCAGTTTGAAAGCTATCTTAATGAAACTTTGCAGAAGTGCCCTTTTCTGTTTCACGCAGTACATATGTCGGAGCCAGCTGGATTGGACCACTATATCATATAGTTGCCAAAGGAACGATCGGTATAAAATTAACTGATACAACCACTTACATTTGTTTTGTTTTTCAAGATATCTTAACCAAACTCGGCATTTATTAGTTTTACTATGCTGCCCATATAAATGCAAATTTTATTAAGATCGGACCACAATATCATATAGCTGCCATAGGAACGATCGGTCGAAAACTAAGGTTGTATGGAAAACTTCTCTGTTTTTTAAGATATATTAACACTAATCAGCATTACCTATTTTCCCTATGATTCGTAGATACTGGCAAAGCACTATTAGCATAATGAAAAGGTTGGGTCTGCAAGGGTATTAAATCTTCGGCGTGCCGAAGGCAGTTTTTTTTCGTTTTTTTTTTTTTTTGTATATCTCTTTAAAAAAGTATTTTTACTTATTCATTTTATAACGAACAGTAATTTTTGTAATCTTTCATTGATGTATGTATGTTCATATAGTTTTGTTATGAGTTGCACTATCCTTTGCAAAATTGATGGACTACATCCACTCAGAATACATCCTCATGTTTAAGGGTACCGCAGTAGATTGAGAAAATACTAATTATTTAAGAAACCTGATACTTAGAATCGCTGTTGTCCAACCTGAGTGTTCAGGAGGAAGAAGAGCATAAATATTTTAGGCCATGCTTTGCAAATGATTGAAGGGACACCTATTTATGAGGATAAAGAAATTTATAAAACTATTCATTTAAGAACGCTTACTAAAATAAATGAACTAATAAACAAATATCATTTATTTCAAAAGGCCTTAAAAGTTAACCATCGGAACCCTTTTTTTTTTTAAATCCAATTGGAAACTAAACTACTAAAAAAAAATTTTTTTTAATCAACTCTGAGCACTTTAACATTTCACAATGCAAAGTATTAAGTAAAATGATTTTTATGCAAATTGTAATTCATTTCCCAACTTCCAGGTCCAATTTTCCAAAACCCTGCCTTATGCCCCGGATGTATGATGTATTTAGATGTTTAACCAGTATCATCAGCCAAAACAAAATAAAGCTTACAGAGATATATAATAAAGCTTACATACCTGCAATAGTTTTGTCCTATAAGTTCTGGAAAGTCCGAAATTTCCTTCATCAACCACGACCATCTGAGGCACGGCTTTCCCGATATACTGACGTTTTCAATTCCTCGGTAACTCGAACCATCCTCCCAATAGCAATCTTCAGCATCGTCTACTTCAATAGTAATTCCCAATGAGGAGCAATCTTTTTCTCGTGGTATTTTTTCACACTCTTCAACTCCTACTACACTAATTACCGGATGTCGTTTCGCAATAGCGTACTCTTTTTGGCAAAGCTCATTTTCTAAAAGTTCACATTCTTCTCGACAAATTCGTTTTAAGTTTTCAGATTCCTTAGTCGGTGGATATTTGCTTGATACATCATTAGTAAATACATCGTTGTAATAAACTGGTTTTTTTTTAAGAAATGAATGTCTATTTTTAGGATCTTTTAAAAGAAATCTTTTTTTTCGTGTCTCATTTCCACTGTATTTGTTTGTAATCATTGCAACATTGGCAAAGTACAATAAATTTGTTCGTTCTGGAGTTCTACAAATTGGAAGAGAGCTCAAGCATAAGCTCGGCAGTGCATATTTTCGGCAATTTGAATTCATATCTCTGAAAAATTAAGTATAAGCAAATCTTAGCAAAAGAAAATGGAAAATACTTACTTTGATTCTTTTATAACTCCATAAGCCGCCTTTAACCGATCCTCTAAGTCATTGATGGTAACATTAGGCGATATAAAAACGTGAGAGTTTCTTAAAAACTCATTACAAATCGTTCCATTATACAATTGACAGATTCCAGAAATTTGGTGAAGTCTTTAAAAATAAAAATGCTTAGTTAGGTTAGGTTAGGTTAGAGTGGCTGTCGATATATTCAATACACCAAAGCTCTTCTACTGGTTAGATATACATTAATTAGACGTTTGCCCTGTTCGAGCACTGAACGGGTACAGATTCCTGGCAGCTTGTAGCAGATGCTGACTTTTATGTATATGCCATCACTATAGATAATTTTGTTAGAAAAGCTTCCTCGATCATTGGTATTTTGACTTGGAATATGTTGCAGCAAAAGATTTCCTTATGCTGAGTTATTTTGACAACACTATACCCCCCATCAGTCTTGACCTGAAAATTTACTGGCCCAGTCCTCCTTACGAGGAATGAGTATTTTAAAATGGATTTTTGGGAGTTAAATTGACATACAATGAGCCGCTCTGTTTTGGGAATGAACAAGTCGCAGAGTTAGGCAGTCACCAAAATGAAAACCTTGTTGGTGCACACAGTAAATATTATACATATCCGTCATTCTATTCTTTGTTATATGTTGTTGTTTGGCTTTGGGATCCCTTGTAAGGGGAGCCTACAAAACTAAAATCGCAGAATATAGGATGGTTAAGACCCAAAGTAATCTCTCGCTGCCGATAGACAATCTCTTACTGGAGAAAATAACAGATTCCATTTGTGAGGGCTAACCTCCAAGCCGGGACAAATTATAAAACCAGTATAACAAGTTTTATCGAAAGTGCCCAACTAAGATTTTTCTGAACCCTGCACCAAGTTGCCAACAAGCATTCTTGCTATCTTCATGGCCAAGACCCAAGCGGCAACCTTAAGAACGTCGCTAGTCTAAATATGTAGGGTATGCAGTTCGGCTACTATCCAGCTTTGACAATGAAACGGAGAAAACTTATTGGTGAACTTTTGGTGTGCGCATACACATTTACATATGCACATTTATGAGTTAACACATAGTTTTCCGTTAAACTAAGCTTTTATATATTTTTCTACTATATGAAGACATTCTCTTCTACTCGATAGTTAAAATTAAAAAAAAAACAACAATAGCCGAAAATAACTCAAATCAAATTGTTCCAATAACAAACTTGGCGCAACAACAGCGATAAAAATGCATACATGTATACATAATGCATACATGTGCGCTCATTTAAAGTCCAGAATACACCATATGTATAATAATGACGGTCCATACTGATATGCACCTAGCTCGATCAGCCATTGGACCTTGCATTTTTGGCTATGTACCAAGCTCAAGAGATAGCACTTGACACTTATATACATATAAAATAAGTCATTTCCTTGGCGTCATTTCATTGGTGTGTGTGTTGGACGATAAAATGATTCTATTTATTTGTTTATTAAGCACAACTGGCCGTTCTTAATGCCACATTAGAATTAAATACAAAAGAGGTCTTAAGAGTGAACACAAGGTTCAGGTTCAGGTTCTTGGTGTTCAACTGGTAGACTCAGAAGTTAATTGTGACCGGCTTAGTTTACTAGGGTGGATGTCACTACTATTACGTAGCGTGGTGTCGGTGGTAACCTTCGCCAGGTTGTCGTTTATTATTGCGATACGATCGTCAACTACAGTGATCGGTCCCAGATGGCTGGGTTGACCTTGCGTTTGGAGTGCTAACCAACATTGGGCACATGGGTCATCGGCTGCTAGTTCACAGAATGCAAGACACAGAGTCTTCTATTGACTGATGAGGCAAAACGGACTTCAAATATTCCTTGTCCAAAAGGACCCATTTTCTTGTTTCCTGATAGTGCGCATTTCATTTTAGATATAAGTAGTACACATATTTCATGCTTAAAGGACTGCAAACTGGTGACCAGTATCTATTTCATATTTTTGGTGTATTTCCAATTTTTACTGTGTCAGCCGACTGTTTTTTTTTCTCTCGTGGCTGTGAATTCATTTATAGTCTATTATTTGACTCTATCAGTTGTGCTTTAGTTATTTTAATCTGTTTTAAGTCATTAGTGCCCGTAGCCGCTGCCATGCTTTTTAACGCGGTGCTGGGTGGCTTCTATCTCCAGTAACTGCACAACTTCTGAAATAACCAGATCATTTCTGTCGTCTCATCCGTCATGCAAGCGTAATTGGAGACGCTGGTTGTATGTTATGTACCCGTACTGCTCCCAAAGAAACACCTGTCAATCTACTATCGGAAGCAGATTGGGAAAAGTCCGAGATCCAGGTGTAAACTATCGCGAGAGAAGAAAAGCAAAGGAAATAATAACCTTAAAACGTAGAGTACAAGTTGTTTTGGCGCTGGCTTAAATCTTAGTAGATGGTACATAAAACAATAAAAATGAATGACAAAATAACCACAAAGGACTCTTTTATGTGGAACCCCCCCTTAATCAGGACTGATGTCCATAAACCGGCTTCTAACCTTTCTTCGATGAACAAAGCGGTTAACGTATTACCAAGTTTTTTATTGCTCTTGACCAACACTATGTCGCCGACTTGGAAGACCCTTTTTCGTCTGTCCTGTTTAACTCCTAAATAGTTGATTGATCGTTCTCATTTTATGCTTCGCGGTATAATCTCTGTCCTAATAATTTTTCTGAACTATTAGGCCCTTTTCGCTAGTGTCCCCGATTCTCGCGATCTATTAAATGCTGTGTCCATCGTTCGCCTGTTCGGCCGCTCTACTCTACGCATTAGAAACAAGTAAGAGTCTGGGTTTCCCGACTATTGGATAGCCATAAACTTCTTCTACCAACACCAAATATAGCTCGCGCTACGAGCTCCTTCGCTTTAGCAATAAAAATATAATAAAAAAATAAATAAAAAACATGGTTCCCTCAACACGCCCGAATCCCTAACATCCCACACTCATTGCCACTGTGTCTACTAAATAGCCATAATAATAATTAATTGTTAATGAAAAAGAAAAAAACCAAAAAGGGTAGCAGCACATGGATGAAATTCAATAAAGAGGCGCGATAATGTGTATGTGTACATGTATACAGATTTTCTTGTAATTCGTGCTAGCTGCCGCAAGTGACCATCTCGAAATCGTTTTTTTTTTTTGTTTCTTAACCGACCTTGATAAAATGTTCAACAGTAGCTCTTTTTACAAATACATATTCGTGTATTCTGAAAGAGACAGTTGTATTAAAAATTGTGGATTAAAATATATTTACTTGATTTATTGCTTGATATATATATATATATGTACTATTCTAGACGACACATTTCATGTTTGGTGACTCTTGCTGTAAAAACCGTAGAGATTTTCTCAAAAAATAGATTTTTATTGATTACTTGGAAACGGGGAAAGTTATCGATTATCGGAAACAAACTCATACTGCGCGGGCACTAGAAGGACCTCAGCTTCACATTTCTTTGGCTCTTACAGGTTCTGATCGTCTTGCGTCCATAAATACGGACAGACTGGCGGACATAGCTAGATCAACTCGGCTATTGATGCTGATCAAGAATATATATACTTGATGGGATTGAGGATGCTTCCTTCTGCTTGTTAAATACCTTTGCACAAGAACATTATATTAATACTAGCCATTTATAATGTACTCTGGGCATAAAAACCAACCGCAACAACGTTATGCACTGCGCGTGATACGGCTTGCCACTGATCTTTCGGTATTCGGCGATTAGCTAAAACTCTTAGCAATCTTTTTCTTAGTGGCCGTAATCGGCCTAGGCTGTGAACGAGTTGGTAGCATTTGGCTGCACCAATACCTGTGCAGGTGTATGTATTGTTTTAACTCCAGCAAGCAATTACCGTTTCTATGTAAATAAGTGTTTTACGTACTTTTATTTAAGTATGTACTTATTTATATTCATATATATGTACATAAGTATTACAGAATCGTCGGGTTGGAGGATTAAACCCTCTTAACCATGCTTGGCTTTATATATGTACATATGTACGTTTTTACGCTAAAACCCATCGGCAACTGTATAAATTTGTTTTGTTTACAAAGTTGAAGTAAAATTCTGTCTGTTATTTAAACGATCTTCTTTGTATTATGATAACGATATGAAGGCAATGCTATTGATGGTAATTTTAAATTTTTGAGTGAGTTATTATTATTGCATGCATATGTACATACATATATACATAGATATGTATATGCATCATATTTTTATGTTTCACGTACCCATTGTTTTCATGTGTTGAATTTTTTGTCCAAACATAATTATCCTTGAATGCTATAAAAACGATATATCGAACAAGAAGTAATCGAAAATATTGTAAATTCATTTCCTTAACAATCCTCGAATATTTTTTAACTTTTAAGTTAATCCTTTTATCTGAGCTCTTAATTTTTGCATAAATATACATAAGTTTGTATGTAACTTATTTTCACTAGACAAATACGATTGTGTATATAGATTATGCGCAGGACATTTCACCCTCTTTATTAGAGATTACGGTGTGACCAGGTAATTCTTCTTTTTAGTTAGCCGACATCAGTCAGGGGTGGCGTCTGTTTTGGGAAGTTTTTCTTAAGATTCCATTTTCAGATCTTAACTCTATTGCTTATTTTATTAAATACTAACAAATACTCATAAATGTCGATAATATAACATCAAATTTTTTATTCGGCAGTGATAATCGTGTATTTAATGGCATAATTCTACTATGCTCAACATTCCAAATATTCGCAAACTTCACATTCTCCGATTCCATCACTTGTTGGTTACATATGAATGGGTCAGTTTGATTGGATTTACCTAAGCGCTGCCAAGTTTTTCTCTCAAATGACAAATAGTGCGGGATAATAGCATGGGCTCCATTTAATGGAGTCTGCCAGATTTCGCTGTCTTTAAATATTATATATGAAAATATAAAACTGCGGGATAAGCAAAATTTAATATTTTCATTCAAAGTTACCGCCGTATAACAGCTGGTTGTGGTAATGATACTATCATAGTTTTCCTAACATCGATACGAAATTCGATAAATCATTGCAAAAAACAGGGGGAGCGCCAACATATTTTCAGAAATTTTGATGCTGGAACTAGGCTATAAAAGGTATTCTGTTTGCATTTGCAATATTATACTTCCAATAATTATATATAACAATTTTATTTCATCAAATATTGAGGTTATGTTGTCGCCAAAGACTTTAATAATATTTTATACCTACGAAGATAAAGCGGTAAATGGGACTGGAGTTTGCCTTCAAAGCAAAATGAACTCGTGGAACTCTTTCTTGCATGGCAGGATCTTGAATTTATCACCGGCTTGCGCTGGCTCTTTGCACACGGCACACTCGAAATCCTCTTTGACCTCGTCGGCGGCTATTTCATGAAGCGCTCCCACGGATGGGCTATTTTGTGAAATCCGCTGAAGCAGCGCACTTGGCAAAGGTGCATGCATTGGGGCCGCGATAACATGGGCGCGTGTGCATGCCATTTTGATCAATTTCGTCTTTAACTCCTCCCCCTTTCAACGCGACGTAGATGCGTTTTTAATTTGCAACTACGTTCGCTTCTGCAGCTGGTTCTGCTGCCACAACTGCTCTGGTTATCTGCTGTGTTGTAGCGAAGATCTTTCGTTCATTGAGTATCTGATGATTCCGATCATTAACATCAACAATATTCCATATAGAGTAAAATTGATTGTTGTGGAAACGTTGTTATAGCTCTTCAGGGTGTCGAGCTTCAAGGTGCTGTAAATGTTAACCTGCTTTAGCATCTGCAGTGAGAGTACCTCGTCGACTCTGTTTTTCGCTGCAAATTTTATACCCTGAACCCATTAAAAATGGGTATAAGGGTTTATTGTATTTGTGCAAAATCCAAATGTATGTAACAGGCAGAAGGAAGCATCTCCGACCCTATAAAGTATATATATTCTTAATCAGCATCAATAGCCGAGTCGATCTAGACATGTCCGTCTGTCTGTCCGTCCGTCCGTCCGTATGTATGAACGCAAGGATCTCAGAACCTAGAAGAAGAGAAATTTTTAATGTGGATGCTCCTAGTTCCCGCGCAGATCGAGTTTGTTTCCGATAATCGATAACTTACTCCGTTTCCAAGCAATCGATACAAATCGATATCGATATCCTGTTTTTTGGGCAATTTCGGTAAATAATAACAGCTAGAGTCACCAAACTTGACATATAGCTTCTAAAATAGAATATATACATATATATATTTGATGTTGGAAAAAGAGGGTTCAGGGTATCCCCTAGTCGGGAGCTCCCCACTAGAACCTCTTACTTGTTAAAGTTTGTAATTTCATTCGCTAGAAGAGCATGCTATATTGATTATGTCTTTAATTAATTTGCTTTCGCTCATACTATACCATTTTCGGATACGATACCACTTACGTGCTAATCATTGAGTAATAAATAGATAAGGAGCCGAAAAGTCACTCCGAGCTTTTATTACCGATTTAATTCTGAAGCCAGCCGGATAAAGTTGGTCCGCAAACGCAAAATCAAACTCAAGAAATTAAGCTCATTTACCATAGGAAGCAACAACAAATCACTAGCAAAACAACAACAATACGTACGAAATCTCATTTTTTCTTCGTCCCCCGTTTTGATCTATGAAATTCTGAAGCAAGATTTTAAGGACATAGGAAAACCAGTGCAAAGAAAAGGGACAGACAATGCCACTGTGTTTGTTTCTGGTTTCTCTGTCGTTCCTACAAAGCTGCGCGTAAAAACAGCAAAAACTCAATTTGGGTACTAAATTGTTGCTGCAGAGCCGAGTCTCGGCGCAAGTAGGTAGAAAATTTGAATGCCGGCAATACATGGCATTCAAATCAAAAGGCGCGCCAACATCATATATTATGACATCACATTTAAGTATATATTTCTACCTTCATTGCATTTAAAAAATTTATTAAATTTTATTTATTAATTAATAGTAAATTATTAATTGATATATGTAATAATATTAAGTACGAAATGATCGCACATAAAAAGCCTTGGGCTGTGATGTGACATGCGTAACAGAATATTGCAATCTTCTTAAGTTCATAGACTTTGTACCAATGTGTGTGAGATGAGACACACAACAACAACCATTTGGCGCGTCGAGGCATTAATACCCCTATTATAAGAATGGTGTATAACTTTTAAAATAAACAATTATTATTGATTGCACTAATAGTTGCACACTATATACGAAATTATATTTTTCATAAACATTGGATAAAAATGTGTATATAAGAAGGCTTGTGCTATTTGGTTACATCACTTATGAATAGTTAAAATACTCTATTTTAAAAAAAGGTTCCGATCTGCTTGCAACTTGAAAGCGAGTGGTGAAGAAGAAGACATGACTTTGCGAATTATAGGCATGGCAGTGCTTAGAAACTACAACGATGAGTTAGAAGGGTGCAGAAGCTAAGATCATGGGTTGTAGCCTCAAACCGAAAAGGGATACCAAGGAAAGAATTTGTGGTGTAATTTTTTCATAGTCGAGTCGTTTTTTTGATTAATTTTGTTGTGGGTTCTTATGGAAAATGTTTGATGTTGTGATTGAAATTTTTTTTTTTGTATTTTATTATTTATGATTAGGCGACAAAAGGAGTGTCTTCCTCATTATTCAATAGGTTATACAATATATAATAGAATTATATGCTAAAAGCCTAGTTAAAGAATACAATTTTCTAAATAGCATCACCGACCGATGGAGGTGTTTTATTTGCCAGTCGGGCCAGCTGTGCCCCTTTTCACAGCTAATTTTGTCAGTGACGCTATTAGAGCCTACAGCTAAGAAGAAAGGTGTAAGTAGGAAAAAAGTGTTTTTAAGTAAAATTAAAAATAATCTTGATTTGCTATAGTCGGCCCAGCTGTGCCCCTTTTGCCGGCTGTTATATAGGCCAGTATGATCAGTATTCGGTTGGTGGTTAATTTCTTTCCCGTGTCTTTAAACGACTGGACTTTTCAGCTAAGAAAAATATTACTCGATGAGCTCTTAAGTGCACGTCTGCTACGTAGTGCCGCGGAAATTAAAAAGAAATCGCTTCACACGTGCTAGCTTGGTTTCAGCAACGGTATTCTAAAAAAAGCCCTCCTATCAACGGGATCCTTCAAAAGCTTTTGATACCTAGCGTTGCCACATTAACTGACTAACAATTTTCTCTTAATAGTCAAGGTTGCTATTTAAATGTAAAATATTAAGAGTCAGCTGATCTTTCCGACTGCGTTACAATAAACAAACAAATATAATTTTCTTTTTTTACAAGGCAGCCGTAACAGTTCTTATTACATATGGTCTTATCGTTATGAGATTCGCAAGAGTCTTTTATTGCATATATCATTTGGCCACATTTCACAATGTTTTCGTATTTTATATCGTTTATTGCATTAAATTTTTGAATGGGCTTTAATAACATAGCAGTACATATTTCGTTTGCAATTAAAGGCACATTAATTAGGTAAGGCGGGCTTTTGCCATTTGTTGCTATCTTTATTTTGACTTTGACCTCTAATTCTGACAATATTATTGAGTTTATTGTATTAGTTTTTGCCCAATCTATGGCAAGAAAAACTTTAAATATCTTGAATCTTAAATTTATGTACCGACATTTTTTCTTCGTTAACATTTTAATTTTCTTTATCTATTTTAATTATCCCATTCGTGACTCTGCTTATCTCGTTCATCCTATTCTAAAATATTTTATTTATAACAACTTGTTTGTTGTTGTTTTCTAACTTCATCTTAGTTATTAATATTTCATGATCACTGTGGTCCGGCGAGCCGGCCAACCATTTCCAAGCTCTTACCAACGCATATATCGCTCTTGCTGCTCTTTGGAGGGTCTGAGACTGCGCAGCTAATTTTTTAATTCTCCAATCTCGTATTCGAGCAATGAGAATAGCTGGTGTGAGGTGTTTATAGTATGTAGGGTGTCTTCCAATGTCTGGAAAACTCTAGATAATTTTGAAGGTGCCGTTTTGCACTACGGCTGAACCCATTTTTTTTTATTGGAATTAGCTGTCAGTGTGAGTAGTCTAGAATTGTTGACAACCCCAGGCATGTTGGTAGGGATAAGCTGTAACGTAATATTAGGTTTTTATATTATTTTAATGGACTTTTCTGCCGGTTTTCGTAGTAATGGCAGTGTTCCCGTTTTCTGCTAATATTTCTTTTTTGTAGTTTTTTCTTGTTTTCTTATGATTTTTTCTCTTACCAGCTGCCTTTGTAATTCTATTTGTTGGGGATCAATTATATTTTGGTTGGTTTTCCTTTTACTGGGGAGTGTACTGATTGATTAAACAGTTGAACTGCTTTGAAAATTAGATCATCGAAATTAACGACACCCTCGACTTTTTTTATACAACGCATGATTTTGGTTAGTGTTGAATGGAATCGCTCAACCTGACCGTTAAT